TCTGGAAGCGCTCACCCCAGCGGTGAAATGTGCAGCCCAGAAGCAAAGCCATCACCTTCTGCTCACCCCTCACTGCCCACACCTCTGCTCATACCTCACTGGCCAGAACTCATCACCTGGCCTGCTCCACCATGAGGGGACCAGGACGTGTCCAGAAGGCCAAAGCCTGAAATATGCAGTGAACGGCCCTAATGAGAACCACACCACTTACCAGCTCAGTGAGCACGGGCAGGTCTCCTTCCTCTGCCTCTGTTTCCTTGTCTAGGACATGGAGAGGAGGCTTCCTTCCTATTCGCAGGGTTGCTGTGAGGACAGCGTGAGTTGGCACACACAAGCACAGAGCGCCCTGCTTGGCTCCACTAAAAAGTTTCTTCCCCAACCCAAGTCTGAGCCCAGTGGGCTAGACGCCTCCAGGTCCACAGCCCAGGGCCCTGTCACCTGCTTCCACCTAGTGCAATAGGACAGACTGTTGCGAGGATGTGAGCATGAAGCAGGGTGCAGGAAAACGCTCTCCTGTCTCTTTCCAGCCTGATCCCTGCTTCCAGGAGCTGCCAACACAGGCAGACCCAGGCTAGCCTTGGAGGATGTCAAGGCCGTCAAAACAGAGCAGAATGAAACGGGCTGTGTCCAGATGGGAGGTGCAAAGGGCTGAGAGGGCGAAGAGTAGGGGCAGCACTGAGGATGAGCCCTGCCGCCAGGGACCCGGATTGTCACAGGAAGGAGAGGGAAGGGAAGTGGGTTAGTGGTAGGTGCGTGTGTTCCTGAAGGAAAGGGGCCACGCTGGACAGGGGCCCAGGGCTTTTGGCTGGTAAGGGTCCCTAGGACGTACGTCCTCATCGGGGTGGGGTGGTTGCTAATGGATCATCCAAAGGAAGATCAAGAATCTGCAGAGCCTCATCTTCCAGTCTTGTGCGAGACCCCAAATCTCTACAAACAGCGTCTCCTTGGAGGAAGCCCCCACTTTGGGGCTCAGAGGAAGCAGCATTGACAGTCTGTTTGACTTTCTCACCTCCTCTTGACTTGCGCAGCACGGAGCCCCAGCAACTCGTGGGGCGTCTTTGAACGAGAGCCACGGAGTCCTGGCTCAGTCAGACTGAAAGGCCTTTTCAAGCAAAACACTGACCTGATGTCTGCACACAGCAGCTTCTGTTCTTTTGGCTGAATGGGCTCTAGGCCCGACCCCAGCACTGCTAGCTGGGTGACTCTGGACAAGTTACTTCACTTCTCTGGACCCACAGGCAGGGCAGGGTGGATAAAGAGCTACCCAGGAGGTCAGAATGCAAGGACCTGCCATCCAGCTTTTGGGCCGAGCAGGACACACGGTGGGGACGGGCAGGTAGGAGAACCCTGGCTCCCCTTAGTCTTCCCCATGTGGTGGGTATCATGTGAGACTCCCACCCCAGCCAGGACAGAAGTGGCACGCATACCCAAGTGGCCGGGATGTGTCCCTCTGGGGTATCTGTTGCCTCAAGAGCCACCCTAGAGAGCATGGCTGATGTAAAGGTGGCATTTTCCACCGTGGTTTGCAAGACTTGGCATTTCCCCCTTTAAAGCTGCCAGGACCACTGTCCCTGGGGACCCACAGTGAGTGATTTGGAGTTGGCTGGGCGAGCCTTAAGTCCTCACCCCCAGCATAAAGAACAGAGGCAAGGCCAGGCACGGTGGCTCACGCCTATAATACCTGCACTTTGGGAGGCCAAGGCCTCCTTGAGGTCAGGAGTTCAAGACCAGCCTGACCAACATGGAGAAACCTGTCTCTACTAAAAATACAAAAATTAGCTGGGC